GAGAGCTGGGCCTGTTCAGCCTGGAGAAGACAAGGCTGAGGGGGGGACCTTATACACATTGATAAGTATCTGAAGGGGGAGTGTCAAGAGGATGGGACCAGACTCTTCTCACTGGTGCCCAGTGACAGGACGAGAGGCAATGGGCACAAACTGAAACACTCTCCTTCCCTGGAGATGTTCAAAAGCTGTCTGGACAGGGTCCTGGGCAACATGCTTTAGGTGACCCTGCTTGAGCAGGGGGGTGGGACTAGATGATCTCCAGAAGTCTCTTCCAACCTCAACCATTCTGTGATTCTGTAAAACCACAACTGTTACTTGTTTATGGAAAGCCAAAAAAAAAAAAAAAAGAGGAAAAAACATTTGAATTCTTCTGAATATTCAAATATTATTCTGGACTTTTTGTTACTCCAAGGGAGACAAAGTTTTGAGGTTTTTTCTTTTTTTTTTTTTTTTCTGGAATGAAGCTGAAATATCCCAGGGAATGGGCTCCGCTGGCTCAAGGTGAAGGTAAAGTATCTTTGCTCAAACTGAAGCATGAGCACAATGGAAAAGAACTGAAAGTTGTGAAAGAGGGAAAAATGAGTTTGGAGGGATGTTCTGCTGAAAATCTCCAAGACAGGTGCAAGTTATTTGTTTCAAAACATAAACATTTTTCCTTCAGCAAAGATTTGGCATGGGTTATTTTGGGAATACAAATAAAAAGCAATAAGCAAGCAAGGAGAGAGAAAGCAGCCTTACCCCAAGTGGAGAAGTGGAGACAAGAGAAAACGCACAGGGAATATAAGGCCTTGCGCCCCTCTCCCTGCAGTGGCAAAGGAAAGCGGTGACCTAAACCGGACTTGTGATCTTCTGATAGCGTTTTAAGCCTCCGATGTTGAAGCATCTAGAAAAAAGACGGTGACAGGGAAGCTTTTAGGCAAATGACTTGGCTAGCAGACCTGCTCGGGATGGGAAGAGGAACGACTGAACCCTGCTTCCCCGTCTTACTCACAGTTATTAGGGGAGCAGGGAACAGCCCCTCGCTGCCACGGCGTGCAGCTCCGTGTGCTTGTCGCCGTACCGAAAAACAAAACCAGCAAATGAAGTCAAGCTCATGAGATGTGCGGGAGCCTTCCCCT